ACATAATGAGATATTACTAACATTGTACCTAGGCATTAGCGGAGCAGTGTACAGTGGGTGGAAAACTAATAGCATATTTAACTAATAACATGATACTTTGGCATTGGTGGAGCATATTAAAGTGAGTGTTAGATTGGTACCTAGGCGTTAGTGAAACAGTGTGTAGTTGACGGTGTGCTGAACCAGTTCTGTATTCATAACGATATCTCATAATGAGATATTTTTACAGCAAATATTATAATTATCGAAGTTACAATGAGAAACACTGGTTATCGTATATAGAATTTTGACCCACGATGTTATGTTTTACAGTAGGTTCCCTAAATATTTACGCACAATGCAATATTTTCGATTTAGTTAATGTGTTTAACATAAATTCCGAAAACTCTCGGAAAATGGTGCTTTGCGATAGTTGTTGAGACCCCCCCCCCAAATAGTGTAAAACGCTTAGTCTCTGCAAGTGCAACATATGTAAATTTGATTGGCATACTCAGGATTACTTCAAAGTTTAGTCTGTGCTGTTTCCTCGACTTTAGATGTTTTCATCTTGTCGAGAATAAGGACAAATTGCTTCCTCAACGTCGAATATAATTGGGCCAGTTTTCAACTGCCTGCGGAGCAATTCCACCCACAGTCAAGGTGAGTAGACCCCATCCCTACTCCGGATATAAATTCAGAACTATTAAAAAAAGATCAGCTATTTGGGGGGAAATACAATTTTCTTGAGATTCCACAGTTTCAACTTAAACCTCAGTCATTTGGAGTACGATTGAAGTAATTGTTGCACGACTGGCTGCGAACGGGCCAGCAGCAGCGTGTAGGGTGTACTAAAATACCACGTGATACTAGGTCGAAATCGGGAAGTCGTCTATTGTTCCGGTACACGCAAAACATGCTACAGCAAAATACGCAAGTCGTGTATTCGATAATTGTGATTTGAATATGCATGAGTAAATGTCACGAAAGCAACGACAAATTACAGCGCGTGCTAGAAATGGGGCACGGATCATCTGCTTCTACAAGTAGTTTGATTTGTTCCTTAGAATTGGAGGCAGGGCCGAGAGTTGTAGTAGTAAGTTACCACGTACTCCTGTAACAATGTTTGCGTATTTTACCACGCATCTACTCTTGTAAACATCAGGTCTCAAAAAAGAAATCGGAGTTTTACGACGATGTCAAGACATATATGCGTTCGTAAATTTTGACCTACAAGTTCAAATTCAGAGTTATTCTGTTGTCAAGTTTGGTTGAGTGCTCGCTCGTTTAATCGGTGCAGGTGACGTCGTTCTATTTCGGGGACTCATTCCGACATCCGGGGTGTTTGGTGGATTTGGAACCACGTGTAATTTGAAATTATCATCCTTCACTTCTTCCACATCCGGTGCGACGCCATTTTTCGTGTAGCTTGTGGCGTCAACTGACACGCGTCTGGTTCTAGTCGCTGGCTTTCTTACTGAAATTTTTGGCAACTTAATTTTGCCCTTTACTTCTAAGTACGATTCCAGATGAGTTACACTTTTATCCAGTTTGGGTTGCTCTGTTTCGGTATCTATAATTTCCGTGAATTCTTTCAAATAATCTGTGCTCTCGCGAGTAGAGAAATGTGCATCATGACGTAATGCCAAAGGCCACCCTAGCAGAGTGAACGGCGGCGGACCATAGGATCGGCTCCTCGTTCGCATGAGAATTTTCTCGGTGTAAACATCGTAGACTTTCTGGTTATCTTTGGCCTCTTTCAGGCGCAGTTGAGGGCGCGATACCTCACTTGATTCGGGCAGCAGGAACACTCCATTTTTATCTTTTTTTAATTTTGCGCTGTCTCCGCGGGATAAATTCTTGGCTTGAAAGTGGTTTGCCGGAAACTGTCGATAGACTGGTGGCCGAATGGATCCGAAGCTCGAATACCGGTATGCTTCTATAATCTGGAGGCTGGTTCGATCCATTGCGGAAAAATGGGTGTCAAGCGTCATTTCATGTGCTGATTGTTTCCGTAAATACGAGGCAGTGGGCGAGGATTCTTCCCCGCCAGAGGTAAGTAATCTCGAGGAAGAATCTTCTTTCTGTTCTGTGTATTTCTGCATCCGCCGCAAAAAATTTCTGATCATAATGGCGTTTTTGCTTAGCCGGCGTCGTCTGCGTCGTCTTCTTTTGGGCACCTTAGCTTGATCTGAAATAGTAATCACGGGTGACGGTTCTCGCAGCTTGAGCTCCTCTAGTTCTTCTGATATTTCCGCGAATTGAAGAGCTAGGTGAGTTTTGTCATCCCAATTTAGATCGCTCCCTTTTCTCTGTAGCTTGTGGGCCATGACTTTTGTTTCTACAAAAAATATAAGATTATTGTATAGAAACTCGCATTCTCAAAATACCCTGACACAGTTATGTAAATTACGCCCTCCTATGGTGGTTGCTATTTTCAAATGAGGGCGCAACTTACACGATCATGTTAGGCTCCATTGAATTACAAAACAAACCACTAGATGGTGATATTTAGTTAGATGTATTGAACAATTTAAATAAATATGTGTAGTCTTTAAATATGTGCTAGTTTTCTTTACAAA